GGGCAGAAACATTGTCGCGGGTGATTTTAGGTACATGTCCTCAGACTCCCCTCCCTCCCTCCCTCCTTCCTTGAAAGCAACGGCAAACAATCATTTTGCCTTTTTTTTTTTTTCCCTGGGTTATCCATGCAGACGCCATAGCACGCCAAGCATGGAGCCCCCTCAGCTGCGCACTGCTTTTGTGAGCATTGTAAACGCCTCGCGCGTTATCATACAGTATGTGCAGAGCGTAGCTAGGAGCTGCCAGCACAAGGAACATTGTGAGGAGGACATGGACACAGATGTTCCTGAAAGCATGGGATGTGGCAATTGGGATATTATGGTGGCACTGGGGCAGGTTGATACAGTTGAACGCCAATTCTGGACCCGGCAAACAAGCACAGACTGGTGGGACTGCATAGCGTTGCAGGTATCTGATGATTCCCAGTGGCTGTGAAACTTTCGCATGCGTAAGGCCACTTTCATGGAACTTTGTGAGTCGCTTTCCCCCACGCTGAAGCGCAGGAGTACCAAATGAGACCAGCCCTGACAGTTGAGACGCAAGTGGCGATAGCCCTGTGGAAGTTTGCAACAGCTAACTGCTACCAGTCAGTCGGGAATCAATTTGGAGTGGGCAAATCTACCCGGGGGGGGCTGCTGTGATCCAAGGCAATCAATAACCTTCTGCTAACAAGGGTAGTGACTCTGGGAAATGTGCAAGACATAGAGGTTGGCTTTGCTGCAATGGGGTTCCCTAACTGGTGGGGCGATAGACGGAACACACATCCCTATCTTGGCACCGGACCACCTTGCCAAACGGTACGTAAACTGCAAGGAGTACTTCTCAATGGTGTTGCAAGGGCTGGTGGATCACAAGGGATGTTTCACTGACATCAGCGTAGGATGGTCGGGAAAGGTGCATGACGCTTGGAACTCTGGGCTGTTAAATCTGCAAGGGACTTTCTTCCCAGACCAGAAAACTACTGTTGGATGTTGAAATGCCTATAGTTATCCTTGGGGACCCAGCCTACCCCTTGCTCCCATGGCTTATGAAGCCGTACACAGGCAGCCTGGACAGTAGTCAGGAGCAGTTCAACTACAGGCTGAGCAAGTGCAGAATGGTGGTAGACTGCGCCTTTGGATGTTTAAAGGGTCACTGGTGCAGTTTACTGACTCGCTCAGACCTCAGCGCAACCAACATTCCCATTGTTATTGCTGCTTGCTGTGTGCTCCACAATCTCCGTGAGAGTAAGGGGGAGATTGAGGCAAATCGCCTGGCAGCCAATTTTGAACAGCCAGACACCAGGGCAATCAGAAGAGCACAGCGAGCGCTGCGCATCAAAGAGGCTTTGAAAAACAGTTTCATGATTGACCAGGCTACATGTGCCAGTTGTGTGTGTTTGTCCTTGATGCAAAACCGCCCCCTTTGGTGAATGTACTTCTCTGTAAGCCAGTCCCCCTTCGACCACAGCTGGCAAAGGAAATAAAGTCCCTATTGTCTTGAAGCCATTCAGTCTTTATTTAAAAAAAAATCACTGACAAGGTAGCGCAGGAGGGGTTGGGGAGGAGGGAAGGACCAGACCACATGGCTTATTGTAGCCACATTAAAAATCAAAGCTGTTTGAATGACAGCCTTCCGTTGCTTGGGCCATCCTCTGGAGTGGCTGGGTGCCCGGAGCCTCCCCCCGTGTTCTTGGGTGTCTGGGTGAGGAGGATATGGAATTTGGCAAGGAGGGCAGGTGGCTATACAATGGATGCAGCGGGGGTCTGTGCTCTTGTTGCCATTCCAGCAGCTCCACCAGATGCCTCATCATGTCTGTTTGTCATGTCCATTAGCCTCAGCATTTCCTCTCACGTGTTCTGATCACGCTCACTGTATGCTTTCCCGGCCTCTGCCACCGAATGCCTCCATGCATTCAGCTGTACCTCATCAGTTTGGGAGGACTGAATGAGCTCTGAACACATGTCATTGCGAGTGTGGGGTGTTTGTTTTTGTTTTGTTTTCCCCCCACCTTCTAATCTGCAGTAACCTCAGGGATGGAGTTGATATGGGGTGAATAGAAACACTTGCACTTGCAGGGGAGATAAAAAGGGAGAGTACAATTTAAGAAGCTACATTTCTGAGAACAAAAGAGAGACTCTTTCACAGTGAATCAAGCAAGTCACAGCAGACAGCACATGCGCTTTAGGTACAAGGTCGCATTTTGCCTTTTAAATTGAGCGCCTGCCGGTATGGTGGCACATCACACATGGCTGGGCAGCAGAATTCGGTTTCCAGGCAGCCATGGTAAGCCAAAGAGTACACAGGGTTGGCTTCTTCCGCCTTCGTAACATGTGGGAATGGTTTCAAACTGCAGCGCCCTCTTTTCCCAGAGCAAGCAATGCCGGTTGGGTTCGCCATTTAAAAGCAGGGGCTGCGGTTTGGGGTTGGATGTGCAGCACACCCCTCCCCCCACCGCGTGGCCATCCTCTTTTTAGCCAAGCACAAACAGCCCAGCATGAACGGGGTCCTTTTACTGTTCCCTAACAAAAATCCCCCTATTTCAACCAGGTGACCATGAATGATATCACTCTCCTGAGGCTGACACAGAAAGATAAAGATCAAATGTTGCTTGAATGCGACCAAAACCCAGGACCATTTGCTGCCATGCTTTGTGCTGCAATGATTCCAGACTCCTTGCTACTGGCTTGGCATGGTAAAGTGTCCTACCGTGGAGGACGAAATAAGACAGCCCTCCCCAGAAACCTTCTGCAGAGGCTTTCAGAATACCTCCAGGAGAGCTTCATGCAGATGTCCCTGGAGGATTCCTGCTCCATCCCAAGACACGTTAAAAGACTTTTCCAGTAGCTGTACTGGCCGCAAATGCATCCCAATTCTTCAGGGCAAATCAAACATTAAACAAAATTGCTTTTAACCCCTGTAGTGTAGTTACAAATGTGCTCTCACCAGAGGTGCCTTCTCCGCCTTCAGGGTCTGGGAACAATAGGCCCTGAGAGGGTATTGGCTCCAGGGTGATGAAAAGGTCCTGGCTGCCGGGGAGAACAGATTCACCGCTTGCCTGCTGCACATTCTCCTCCTCCTCCACAAAGTCCTCCTCCGTTTCGTGAGACTCCCCCCCTTGCAGGTGTCCATGGACAATGTTGGGGTAGTGGTAGGGTCCCCCCCAGAACGGAATGCAGCTGATCATAGAAGCGGCATGTATGGGGCTCTGACCTGGAGCGACCGTTTGCCTCTTTTGGTAGGCTTTCCTGAGCTTCTTACCTTTCACGCGGCACTGCTGTGTGTCCCTGGTGTAGCCTCTCTCCACCATGCCCTGTGTGATTTTTGGCATATATATCCGCATTTCCTCTGCTGGGTCAGAGTTCAGCCTGCACAGATTCTTCTCCCCATACAGCGATCAGATCCAGCGTCTCCCGTTCGCTCCATGCTGGCGCTCGTTTGTGACTCTGGGACTGCAAGGTCACCTGTTCTGCTGAGCGCGCCATGCTGACCAAACAGGAATTGAAATTCAAAAATTCTCGGGGCTTTTCCTGTGTACCTAGCTAGTGCATCAGAGTTGAAAGTACGGTCCAGAGCGGTCACGTTGGAGCACTCTGGGATAGCTCCCAGAGGCCAACACCATCCAATTGCACAGCGCTGTGTCTGCACGACCCCAAATTCGAACCAGGAAGTTCGGTTTTAGCACTGCTCCCCTCGCCGGGGAGGAGAACAGCAGTCGATTTTAAGAGCTCTTTACGTCCTTGGAGTTGGTTGTGTAGCTGCATCGCTTATAAAAGCGACCTAATGTGGCTAAATTCGACCTAACCTCATAATGTAGACCAGACCTTGGTTCGGGGAGTTTCCTTCTCAGCCAGCCAACCAACCAAGATCCGTTCTGTAGAAATGGGTTTTGTATCCATGCAGTAGACTGCAGGCATGGAGGTACCAGTCTGGAAGGGGATTGGGGAGTATCTCCAGGTAGTGTGAGCAAAGTACTGCTGCCTGGCCTGTAAAGTGGAGTTCACTTACTCTGGGGAGCATACATTTAAGGTACTGTATGCCTCTCTTGATCTGCTTTGATCTATGCAGGGAGGGCAGATTAGACAGGGGCCATCCATGTTCGCCCCTGTCCATTTCTGAATCATAGCAATGAATGCTGGACCACTAAGCAATGGCAGTAAAATGTTGAGGTGAAATCTCATACAGAGATCTGTGTACGACAGCTAGTAAAACTCTGGAGAGCTGTTGGTTTCTCTCTGGGTTTATGATGGGGAAGCTTCACCTGTGGCCCATTCCCCCTCCACCCCCCCCCCCCCACCCCAATTTTGCCAAAACTAAGTTGCCTGAAATCCCACATGAGATCTTGCTTCAGTTTAGCATCTCCCTTGAAAGTTTAATGCAAAGCCATCAAGGAGTTTGGGAGATAGGAGGATGCTCACAGTGAGATGCATTTGAATGCTCTTCCTAATCTTTCTGGGTCATAACTCCCAGTCTCTGGTTTGTAAGTGCCACACGTGCTCCTCTGTTGGTTGGGAGGAGGAGGGTGCCTTTTGCTCTTGGGAGGGCTGGGGTTGGGGGGTGATAACTGTAGAAAGCAATTAATGATTGTGCTGAGCCTTGCCGGTTTAAGGCTGCATAGACGTTGGGGATCTTTAGGGAGCCTTCCCCAGCCCAGTGCACAGGGGATTTTTGGGGTAGTTGAAGGACCAGAAGACGGGATGAGCCACCTGTCCTTAGATAAGTCACAGATAAAGAGGTTTCCCCTGAGGAAGTGAGTCCACACTGTCTCATGAAGTGATTGGACCAGTTCAAGGCGAGGCATGGGTAAATGACGGGGTAGGGGTGAGGAGCAGCCCGTTCATCTGCCTTGTTTTTTAGTTGCTGGCTTTCACTGGAGGGCTTGAGTTGAGGGTCTCTGTAATGAATATCCCCATCCTGTCCATGTTTCCGGAGGAGTCTGGTAGCCAGTGCACAAGACTCTAAACCATGTATTGTTGAAGCCAGGCCAAGATATTCTGTCATACCCTCTGTTCTCCGCTAGGTTGGTGCGAGAATTTGTGGCTCAGAACAACGCAGCGCAGATCAAGCATGTGATCCAGATCCTGTCGCAAGAGTTCGCACTCTCACAGCACCCTCACAGCAGGAAAGGGGGGCTCATCGGCCTGGCAGCCTGCTCCATTGCTCTCGGGAAGGTAGGGTTCCCAGTTGTTTGTTTCCGCCTGTCACTGTCACAAGTGAGCATCTGTTCCCTATGGTCTACAGGCTGCTGGAAAGTGTTCCCCTAGCAGTCTCCTTGATGTCAACAGCCTGCTCCATGAGTTAGTGCTCACCAGTGCACCCAGGAGAGGGTATGCATCCTAGCCCTGTGTTAGGCCCAGGCTGCTCTATGGAAACATTTAATTGTAATTGGCAAACTCCGGATGCTGGGGAGAGAATGAAAAATTGACACTGGTGCTGCGCTGGGGAAGGATGTGAACAGGAATGTTACAAGGCATGTCTAAGGAGACTGTGTTCTGTCCACCTCAGAAGAGGCAGCAGAAGTTACTCTGCTTCTTATGAGATGCTCAAGGCAAAAGCCATGAACGCCACCGAACACTGGAGGTGTGGGATCAGGTCTGGGAGCTTAGTAGACATTTCAGCATTGCCTGGGCTTTGGAAGATACCGAAGGAAAACCATCTTTGTGTCTCAATTATATTAATGCCATGTGCTTATGATGAAACCTAGCCCTGCACCACTCAGTCCCACAACATGGTAGTTTATTGTATCATACACAGAACCTTAACTAGGCTAAAGCATAGCTAGAATACAGGCTAGCCCCAGTCAGAGACTTACCCAAACCACGCTGGGCTGCACAGACAACGGTAAGCCATTACATAAATTTACACTTTATCTTTCCATTGGACTTTAGAATAAGACTTTAGACTACTTCTAGTAGTCACTAAAATAGACATGCATCCCAGTGTGGTGCTATTGCACTGACATCTTATTGTAACATTTATGTGCAAGGGGAAACGTAACTGGCTTCTGTTCAAATTAAGGGCTTGTTCCTCTTTCCTTAGGTCCTTTATGTCATTCTCCTCAATGAGAGCACTGAGTAATGGCTGCAGGATCCAGCTTTGTGCTCAGTAAAACAGGGAGGTTTGTGCATGAACAACCTGATCCACAGGCTGAAGTCACAATGGGCTTTGGATCAGATACACATTTAGTTATCAGAAATGTCTTGATGAGGGAGGAAGGAAAAAGTAAGGTGATCTTTTTATAGCATTTCATTCTGCATTTCAGCCCAGCGCACTACTCTAGAGACAAGCTATCCCTGTATAAAATCACATGTGGTAGGATTTTAATTCCCCTTTAATGAGACTGTGAGTCACTAACCAGCTAAAATGGATACACTGTAAAGAAGGCCAGGGCTCAGAGTTAATGTTAAATTGCCTCTAAAATCATCAGTTTCTGCTGCTGGGTGATACTCCAGATTCTTAATCCTTTTATTAAAATGCCTATCACTTTCGCTGCTGTCTTCTTAAAAAATGCTTATCCACAACACCACAATATCTTGATTCCCCCCCCCCTGTAGAGGACACAGATTTAACTACAAATCTTGTTTTCTGTTCTCTGCTGGGATAAGTGGCATCAATGCTGGATAGGAAAGTAACTTAAACAAATTATAATGTTCTCAAGTGTTATGGAAATCTGTTGTCGGATGCAGTTCAGAAACTTCTTAGGTATATAAAAACATTAATACAAACTTTCAGTTTATTTGTTTAGCCTGGAAATAACTTTCTTTCTGTACTGGGTTTTTTTCACTATCCATTTAGTGAACACTGAGACATTCTTCCTTACTCTAAAGGGGTGACATCAACTTAGAATTCCAGACAACTCTGATTTTTTCACCTACAATAATTAAAAGTAACATTTTGGATCGTTAGAGCTGATTAGATTAGAAAGAAAATCACATCTGAGGCTAGTCAGACAAATTTCTGTTTGTGTGGATATTTCATATAGCAACACAAGCTAAAAAATAAAAATGGAAATGTGACTTTAAAGTCACACAAATTCTCAGGTGAACTCTGAGGCAGGTATAGTTCATGAAAGTACTTCTAATTCATCTGCTGAAGTTGACTAGATGCTAAACAAGTCCCGTGTTAATTTCCACTTCATTTAAAAGGACACTATCAACTTAACTCCTTTTTTTTTTTTTAAAGCTGGTATACCAACCTGGACGCGTTGTCTCTCATGACTGTTCAGTCCTAAGAAGGAGGTTTTGGTTGACTTGCTAATGCTGAGCCAGCAGAATAAGAACACCAGGGTGCTTTTAGTTTGTATAAGAAAACTTAAAAAATCCTTGAATATTTAGGATGACCCAAGGCCAGATTGTACCCCAAGACACCAGAAGCTCTCTCTGGTTGTGAGCATCTCTCATGCACAACTGAGGTAACATTCAACTCCCCCCATCAGTATTTTGGTATAGGGGAAGACTTTTTTTCTCCATTGGATGGCTTGAATTCTAGCCCTAAACTTGATGAATTTCCATAGAAATCAAATGGCTTAAAGATGAGTGGATTGAAACCTTCTGCCGAACAATTGCAAGAAGACCTGGCAGGAGACTTGGCAGTCACTGTTGGCTTCAGTAGGACTATTGTCTCTGGTTCCTGGCTTAAACAGGAGGTTAGTAGCTTGAGTGTGTTGGTGAAAGGCCATCTCCATGGAAACTTGCTTCTCCTTTGCCCCAGCAGAGCCCAAATTTGTTGCCCTTCAAGGCATACTACAGTCTATTCCCAGGCGCTGCCTCAGAGGGTAAGATGAGCCCTTTGAAATGGGGGGGGCGGGTGGGGAGTTCCTATCTCTGGTGGGTGACAGCATCTTGGAGAAGCAGAATGGTGTGAGGGGATGGGTATTTGTGATGAGAGGAAGTCTTTGGGTGAAAGTCATTATGCTTTGTGTTTTCCTGTTGAAAGGCCCTTAGAGCTTTTGGGGAGGTGCTTGGCCAATTGGGTGAAAACAAAAAACTCTCTTCAAAAACTTCTTGTAAATCTAATAGCACTGGACCAGTCAAGTGCAATTTGAGTATTTAATTCGCTCCTGCAATAGACTCTTCGCTTATGACCATCTCTGCTCATTCCAATGTACGTCATCCCAACTGGGAATAATGGGTCAAATCTCTGCAGGGACAAGGCCCTAGAAACCAGTGTGCTGTACTGTAACTGTGCCTTAATGGGTCACAACTGAGAGTGCCAAATTCAGGCCGAACTACTGAGAAATAGGGCAAACAGAATCCCAAAATGGTGGTTATTCTCTTAAAAGATTTACCAAACCAGCCACAAAAGTAAACTTCTGTTTCACTACACTGGCTAACAAGAAAACATAAAGGCAGTTTCCTTAGGCATTCCAGTTCTTATATCACCACCAAAACCACTGGATTCAGAGATGAGTGGTTCTCTGCAACCAGTCTCATTAAATAATAGGTTCTTCTAATCCCAAAGGACCAGCCACACACCCAGGTCAATATATAACTTAGATCTTACCCAAAAATCATGCTGATGCCAATCCCTTAGTATCTAAACTCTAAAGGTTTATTTATAGAAAGAAAGGAAAGAGGGAGAAAGGTAAGAGTTAAAATTGGTTAAAGGAATCAATTACATACAGTAACTGCAAAGTTCTTGGTTCAGGCTTGTAGCAGTGATGGAATAAACCTGCTGTCTTAAGTCTCTGGAGTACATTCACAGCTTGGATGGGTCATTCAGTCCATTGTTCAGAGCTTCAGTTGGTAGCAAGGTTCCTCCAGAGGCTAGAAGTAGGATTGAAGACAAAATGGAGAAGATGGAGCTGCCTTTTATAGTCTCTTGCCCTGCGGCCTGTGCTTCCTTTGTTTTAAACACAAGCTGCCCAGCACATGGCTTGGAAGCCATAGAGTTCTCACCATAGGCATATCCCTGCATGCCTTGCTGAGTCATAAAGTGTATCTGCCGTCTCTCAATGGGTCAGTTGTATAGCTGATGGTCCTTAATGGTGTGACGGGTTCGGTCACAGAGACCCCCTTGGGACTGTCACCTGATGTGCTGAAATTACCTCTGAGTCCATTTTCCCTGATAGCTTGGGACTCCAGAACCCTGCCTTGCAGCAGGCTAGCGTGTCTGGCTCAACAACACAGGCCCAGGATCTGGGCCATGCCCCCCAAACCTGCAGACTTTAACTAAAAACAGCTCAGCAGGTAACCTGTCTCCAGCACCCAAACTCCCAATGGGATCCAAACCCCAAATAAATCAGTTTTACTCTGTATAAAGCTTATACAAGGTAAATCATAAATTGTCCACCCTCTATAACCTTGATAGAGAGATGCATAGCTGTTTGCTCCCCCAGGTATTAATCACTTAGTCTGGGCTTATTAATAAACAAGTGATTTTTATTAAGTATAAAAAGTAGGAATTAAGTGGTTTCAAGTAATAACAGACAGAACAAAGTAAGTCACAAAGCAGAATAAAACAAAACGCGCAAGTCTAAGCCTAATACATTAAGAAACTGATTACAGGCAATATCTCACCCTCAGAGATGTTCCAATAAACTTCTTTCATAGACTAGACTCCTTCCTAGTCTGGGCCCAATCCTTTCCCCGATACAGTTTTTGTTAGATCCAGCAGACATCTCGGGTGGTAAGCAGGGGTTTTCTCATGACTGGCCGCCCCTTTTGTCCTGCTCCATCCCCTTTTATAGCTTTGGCACAAGGCAGGGAATCTTTTGTCTCTGGGTCTCCACCCCTCCTTCTAAATGGAAAAGTACCAGATTTCAGATTAATTTCATTATCAGGTGGCATAGCCACATGTCACTGTAAGACCCCTAGTCTCCATTCCCCATGGGCTGGCCCACAAGTACACAGGAAGACTTTCAAGTAACTGTTTCTGGAGCACCCCCAATGGCCTCCACTTAATATGTTTGCATCAGTGATACAAGTTTATACCTTATTCTCCTAACTCCAGACATAGACATCATACATGCAAACAAATAGGATGAACGCACTTAGTAGATTACAAGCTTTCTAATGACACCCTACAAGGGGTATTTAGCATAAAGCATATTCCAGTTATGTCGTATTCATAAGCATATTTCCATAAAACACATGGCATGCAATGTCACAAATGGGCCATCAAGCAGGCTAGGCAGTGCTGATGCCAAACTGTGTAGGGGTATCATCCAGAAGCATAGCACAAGTTTGAAATACAGACACATACATATCTATAACTCCTAATACAAAGGTGATCCAAACATATAAACAAGATGATCATATCTGGCAAATGATGATATTTTTGCAGATATATTACGTGGCATAACTGGTTGTGACCAGTGTCTCAGTGGGGGATAGCTATGGTCATTTAATTAGGGTAAACCACAAAGAATGGGGCAGACAATCCACATAAAGCTGATGGATATTCCAATACTTATAACTTACATACTAAAATGATACATGCATACAGATAGCATAATCATAACCAGCAAAACATAACCTTTTCATAGACATCACTCGACAACCTTTATACAAAATTTGCTGCAAATATATAACAGTGGTTGCAACAAGGATTCATACAGTCCTATTTTAATCAGATAACGTCACACCATAGCTAATGCATGAGGGTCCGAGAGCTAGGGGGTAGTAACCCATCTGGTCATATTTCCCTCAGAGACCTAGTTTTGGCTACGAGCCTGGGCTCAGTCTAGGCTCAAACCTGATAGCGACAGTGTTTGGGACATGTGATCTCCTGTGATGGGATGAATGTGTTTTGAAGTCTCTGGTTTCAGGAATGGGACTATCGCTGTTCCAAAGAAGTCTTAATGACTTGTCTCTCTATGGTTACGTCCAAATGGTGATCCTGGCATTATCAGGGAGCCAGAATGCAAGTGATCTCCGTTCCTGTGCTGGAGCTTGCAGCACAAGGCCTGCAATCCTCCAGTGGCATTCACAATGCTAGTCTGATAGCTCCCTGTGAATCTGGAGCCAGGGTGAGATGGTACAGGCTCGCTTGGTATGATCTGGTTGTACGAGCCAATGCTCGTGAAGGTGGCGATGCCTCGTGGCACTGCCACCTGTGGCCATGTCCTAGTGCTCCGTTGTATGACATACGCTGCCAGAGGTCAGTCTGTTCCCACCCCAAGTGAGGACTGGCCCTAACCCCCAGTCTTGTTCTTCCATCAGGATTCTGGGCTGTACCTGAAAGAGCTGATTGAGCCGGTGCTGACTTGCTTCAACGATGCTGACAGCCGACTGCGGTACTATGCTTGCGAGGCCCTGTATAACATCGTCAAAGTGGCCAGGGGCTCTGTCCTCCCACACTTCAACGTGCTGTTTGATGGCCTGAGTAAGGTAAGTAGCTTTTCCCCTGTGTCTGCCTTCCCTCCCCCATGAAGGTGCAGAGTGGGAGCCCTCACCTGTCACCCTACTAAAGGGGCCACCGGTGCAGATCCCTCCTGCTGCAAGACAGGGTGTAGGCACGCTTGGCTTTGGGGCTGTTTGGCCCTGCTCTTGTAGGAATGTCTGTAGAAGGCTTAGGCCGCTACCCTCGCTGTGTCTGTCCCTTGCTCACTGTGGTTGCAAGAAGAGAGCTGAGCTGAAGGTAGCAGCCGGGAAGTGGTGTTCAGGCATTTCAGATCAGGCTTAGTGTTTGTTCACCTTCTCTTGCCTGGGTCACACCTTCCATTCAGAGTTGTGAACCCAGCTCTGCCCCATGCAACCATCTCCCCAGGCCCTTCCTGGAAACTCATTCAACTTCTAGTCTGAAAGGAAACTGCTGGCAAGAAATGAAGTTGATTTAACCTGTACAAGTGTCAGGGATGTCTTCTCATGGCGAACAACCTTGGGCACTGCTAGGAACCCAGCACAAATACACTTGTGTGTGTCTTTCTCTGGAACCCTGGAACCTGTGATGGCATTTTTGTTTTTGTAACTTGCAGCTTGCCGCTGATCCAGACCCAAATGTGAAAAGCGGCTCTGAACTACTGGACCGACTTCTCAAGGTAATTCCCATTTCCCTTCTTTTAGCTGACTATCCTAGGGACCCATGTCAGAAGGCCCTTGGTGGGGGACGGGGGACAGAGTTATACATTTGTTACATTTCCAGGAGGCTGTACCAGCCAATACAATCACAACTTCATCCTGTGGCTGTGGAAATCGCTCCCTTTCCTGTAGGCTGCTGCTCTGATGGAATGAGATGCTGCTTCACTGGCCATCTCCATGCTAAGGCTTCATACACCTGAAGTATTACTGGGGGGAGGGAGGAGTTGCCTTTAACACAGCAACGGGTGAACGTTAATGAAAAGCTTATTGGAGTACCTGTCTCCACCATGCTGCTCCGGGGGAAGGCTGCACTGTGATCAGTAGGTTGCATCTCCCTCACCAGGCTACAGAGTGGGGACTCTACCATTTTTTGTCTCTCATCAGGGTTCCTTGTTCCAGCAGGTGAGCTGGAGTGCTCTGTCTGTAGAGTAGAAGCTGCTGTCTCTTGTAGGAGCCTTTAATTCCAGTTCCTGATCTATGTACAGTGTGGTTCTTACCTGCCCAAACCTCCATATTTCCTCCTCCTAACTTGTAGGACTAACAGGCCCCTTGACCGCTCCCTTCCCTGCTCCCAAATACCAGCCCAGCGCTTGGCATGGTGCAGAGATCCATGTTGGGGAGGTAGCAGAGGGTCACTGTGGGAGAGTCCAGCCCTCCTTACACTCTCCTGTCCACTGTCCCATAAGACTGGAGCAAAGGGATTCACTGTTGCAGGAGATCTGTCATATAGTGTAGGTGAGCCCTAAAAAGGACTAGGGACACTTCTTATTACATATCAGGGTGGTTCAGTCACATGCTGTGGGGCATGAGTTGATTAGTGCGTGAGTCAAGGAAACTTCCCCCCCACTTCCATGTTCAGGGTTGTGCAATTGGGCTGGTGCATTGTGGGGAGTGAGACTTCACCTGTTTCTGAAACCTCAGTACTGACCACTGCCAGAGGGAGGATGCCTGATTCACTGACCAGTTAGGACACACCCTGTGGTCCTTTGGCTCGAGGACCAATAGTTGAGAGTCATTGCCCATGCCTAGAATTGGCTGATTTGAGCCCCATCCACTGTGGGTGACTTTTCACTTTCTAAAATATGTTCAGCCCCTGACTTGCTAAAAATAGGAAGTGGCCAGCTGGTGTCTGCGCTGGTGCGTAGGGTCTGAGCGCTGGGGGGCCAAGCCCCATCGCTGCCCTAACCTACCAATGATGGTTGTTTCATAGGACATCGTGACTGAGAGTAACAAGTTTGACCTCGTGGGTTTCATCCCGCTCCTGCGGGAGAGGATTTATTCCAACAACCAGTACGCCCGGCAGTTCATCATATCCTGGGTAAGTGTGTATGACATACCACTTGTGACGTCTGCTCCACTGCTGAGGCTCTAGCAAGGGGTGATATGGCTGTAGCCCAGGGCTGTCGAGCTCTTGTCCTCCAAAAAGTTCTAACGAAAGCTATCAAACAGCTGTGGCTGCGCTGCAGCTGGGGTTCAGTGTGCCCATCATCATAGTGTCTAGGCACATGTCCTGCTCTAACTTAGTGGATGCAGATGCATGATGTTCACTTTGTCTTGTCCTCAGACTCACTCATTCCTTAAAAGATTGAGTCACTCCTAACTTATTTCCTGCAGTTGGCCGTAGCTGTTGGCTGAGTAGCTCTCCGCAGTTCTGTTGCCATGGACTTGTAGAGTCCCAGAAGATAATGAAAACACGTAGTACATGCCTAACTTGCATAGCACTTTGTACTCTCAAAGTAAGAGCGCAAACAACCCTTCCAGTGCCTGGAGGGTAGATAAGTACCCTCTCTTTTGCAGATGGGGCAGGTGTCGTGGATTGACTAGTGCGCAGGATGTGGTGACAGAGCTGGGATGAGAACTTCCATGTTCCCTGGTACTTAGGGCATGGCTACACTGAAAACTTCAAAGCTTTGTCATGGGATTAGCTCCATGAGGGGATTGGCTCCGAGCACTGGGAGCGCGGCTCCCAGTGCTTGGAGCCTGTTTCCACTCGTGCTTTAAAGTGCTCAGACTTGCTGCGCTCAGGGGGGTGATTTTTCACACCCCTGAGCCAGCAAGTTAGTGCTATAAAATGTAAGTGTAGCCAAGCCCTTAGTCCATTGGCCCGCACTGCCCCTTGCGATGGAGAGCCCATTAGGTCATCTAGTCCAGTACCCCCAGCTCAGACAACCGTGCTCTTTACAGTACCACCTACTATTACCAAGTTTACGTGCCCCTCCATTTTTTCACTATTCCTGCACCAAAGCATCCTTCTGGGGTGGTTGGTTTGTTTTTAACTTCTAGTCTTCTCTGAAACTCACTAGGACTCTTTCTTGTCTTCCTTGCTCCTTCCCTGAGTTAGATCCTGGTGCTAGAGTCGGTGCCTGACATTAATCTCCTGGGTTACCTGCCGGAGATCCTGGATGGACTCTTCCAGATCCTGGGAGATAACAGCAAAGAGATCCGGAAGATGTGAGTGTGGGGGGGTGCGGAGCACTGGGTAAACACTCTGGGCGGGGGGGAGGGGGAGCGGCGCGTGGGACGCTGGTGAGAGATGCACAGATTTCACGACCCCAGTTTGAGAACCCCTGATGTAGAGCATGGTTCTCCTGCTGCTCTGATCTAGGCAGAGGTGGTGTCTGAGAGGCAAGATGCTGACTACTGGGTCAGTGAGGCAGCAGCTCACCATGGGTTTGTCTTCCTGGCAGAGTTAGCTTGAGGTGTAACTCGAGCGTAGCCCCTAACCCGACTCCTGTTCTCACACACATCTCGAGCTCAGGGGTGCTGTAAACTCAAGCTAGCTGGCCTGGCAGGGGATGTGGGTTGACGGTTAAATGCTGCTGATGCTCAAGCTCAATAATGCGGTGGGGACGCAGCTGGTCTGTGCAGCACTCACAGTTGCTCTGTGCAGCCAGTGTTATTTTGTAGTGTGGCTGCTCTCCCTCAAGCTGGGCTAACTCAAGGGGAGTTAACTTGAGTGTGGATAACTCACAGGCATGTGCTTGGTGTTGGAAACGCTCAAGCCCCCTGTTAGGATGAGTGCTGACCACCACAGCTGGTGGGAGAAGATACGTGCTCAGATTCACTGCAGCTAACTGGTGATGCCTTGGCTCTTGATGTCAGTTCATATGTACACAGGAAGGTTGGTGTATGGTCCCTGTGTTCTGTAGGCTGAGAATGAGTCTCTTAACTGGTTGTCCTTCCGCTCTGCAGGTGTGAGGTGGCCCTCGGGGAGTTCCTTAAAGAGATCAAGAAGAATCCTTCCAGCGTCAAGTTTGCAGAAATGGCCAACATTCTAGTGATTCACTGTCAGGCTTCTGGTGAGTGTGCAAAGCCCAGTGTGCTGGATAGAGCCTGGGTGGCAGCCACGGTCCCTGTGACTGTGACCAAAACCTTTGATTCGGGATTGAAGTCTGTTGTTGGTGTAGACGGCACAGTTCTCCTCTACAGCTCCCCTGCCCCTCCGAGAAAACAGGCTACAATCCCAGCACCAACACAGCACTTGTGTTGGATCACGGTTCGCTCATGGGTGAACCAGCACCAGGCCTTGGACAGGGTTGTGTTTTCAAAGGGAGGATGAGCTGCTTTGCATGGGGCTCTGAAAATCCTGTCTTGGGGAACTTCCCACCATGGAATATACTTGGAAAGCTCTTTGATTAAAGTTGACGGAGAATTGCGTTCCTGGCCCAAGCATGGGATCCCAGTGTTAGAGTTCAGGAAGCCAGGCACCATACACAGTTAGTATCCGTTCACCTACCAGCATAGTCTGGAATTAAAAATGTTGAGGGGTGGGGTTCACAAGCGCTCACCACTACCCCCACTCCTCTCCCATGGAAGTGGGTGAGTTTTACCAGTGCCTTCAGTGGGCACAGTGTGAAGCTGTCAGTGAGTGTATTTGCCAATCACCCTTCAGGTTGATTCACCACCGTAGTCTACTGGTTGTCAGTTTCTCCGCCAATAAAATGGAGCAGGATTCCGGGTTTCTATTGCCCCTTCTGCCTGAGTGTCAAGTGTTGTATAGCGACAGTAGCAGGGGCTTTGCCCCTGACACTGGGATCCCTCATATTGATGTCCCAAATGTCACTGCTCAGCCGGACAGTTTCCACCAGTGCTGTACCAGTGATATTAGAGTGACCGGAGACCTCATCGCAAATCCAGGCCCTGGTTTGTCCCATGCTCAGAAATGCTTTTTCTCACTCTCAGCAGAATGTGCTTGGAAAGATGCCTTGGTTTAAACAGATTCCTCCTGACTTTATTAGATAAAAGACCTTGGAGCTGCCCCTGCTGGAAGGTGGGCTCAGGCAATGGCCCGAGGGCTAGAAGCATTGCAAGTGTGGCCAGCAAGTCTGGGTCTCTGGGCATGCTGCTGTGCTCCGTAGCCTTTAATGCTGTCACCCCTGTGAATTACTACTGCTTGCATTACATCGCTCCAGAATTCCATTCCACAAGAACACGAAAGCCCTGAATATGACTGTGGCCATGGGACACTTCTGCCAGACCCCAAACATGCATGGAGTTATCACTTTGTAAAACAAAATGGTATCCTCCACACAGTGTGACCTCGCATGCCATTGTAGAATTGCATGCCTTGCTAAAAGTGTCATGGCACACCACTGGATTTTAGGTGTCCCAAGGACTGAAAAATTAGGCGCAAGTGCCTCAGGCTTTCTGTGGCATAGATAATTAATATGTTTAGGGTTTCTCATTTTTGGTTTTACCTGATAAACATGGATAATACACCCCATACAAAAACCACCAAAAATACTTATTTTGATTTGAAAGCAATTGTATCTATTTAAATTCTCTGAATTTACCCATGCCAGCTAAGCCTGTAAACTAGGTCTGCCTCAGTTTTAGAGTGCCAAGTTTCATCTCTGTCTAAACTGGTATTGATTATAAAATAACACCTCTAGCAAAACCGGTGTGACTTTGTGACACCCAGGCCTGAGCAACTGAATTGGGGTAAATCAGGTTATTGATGGAACAGTTTTAAAGGGTTTATTTGATTCCGTGCATCCTGCTATGTCTGTGGCCTCTTCACTGGGGTTTACCCCAACTTCAGCCATCGGCAGTTCCCCCTGCCTTAACTGCACTAATGCTGCAAGCCTTGGGTGGAGAAAGGGTAAACTGCTATAAGCTAAAAGGAAAAGGAGGACTTGTGGCACCTTAGAGACTAACCAATTTATTTGAGCATAAGCTTTCGTGAGCTACAGCTCACTTCATTGGATGCAATGAAAGCTCACGAAAGCTTATGCTCAAATAAATTGGTTAGTCTCTAAGGTGCCACAAGTCCTCCTTTTCTTTTTGCGAATTCAGACTAACACAGCTGTTACTCTGAAACCTGCTATAAGCTGTGATCTGCATTTGTGCAGCTTACTCAGGTCTCAAGCAGGGGTTTGCATAATCTGCGCAAATAGAGGCTGTTCCTGCCTAGACTGGGTGTTCACACTGCTGGTGAGTGGGTCGCTGGATCAGGACAAACCCCCAGTGTGGAGGGGGCTGGAGGCCAAGTGGGAAGAAGGGGGCAGCTGGGTGTGCGGCCAGGCTGGTACCTCATACCAGCACTCACCCTTCTGCTGGCCCCATTAGTTTCTTCAGAATTTTCTTTAAAGCAATCTTCCTACCCCTTGTGGTTCTGAAAGAGACCCCCTGAGTGGGAGCCAGTGCAATGCTGTCTGCCTGTGTTTGCAGACAGGCCTCTTCAACGGCTACTCTGCGGTAGAACCTGGAGAGTTAAGCAGTAAATCCCCTAGCAGCCTCAGGGGAAGGAGGGAGACATGTAGAGCATACTTGGGCCTCTAGGTTGTGGTGGTGACTTAGGTGTACAATTCCTGTGGTGAGGAGCATGTTATAAATACTTAACATTGATGCATGTAGTGCCCTTAACTCCCACTGACATTCATAACACTGAAGCCTAATGATTACCAGCACGTTTACATTTAGCACTTTCACTAAGCATTTTTAACATCCAGCTACTCTTGGCTTTTGGGGATGGATCTTTGGGAGAGCACCAATCACTATGACCCTGCTGATGAAACCAAAACCAGAAGCCAAGTGTCATCTCGTTGTGCATGTTGGGTAATTTGTTGAGTTTGATCCATTTGTGCCACCTGCCTCTTCCTCAGCTCTTCTTGGTCCCTGTTTTCCAGATGATCTGATTCAGCTGACAGCCATGTGCTGGATGAGGGAATTCATCCAGCTGGCTGGTCGGGTGATGCTGCCCTACTCCTCAGGGATCCTGACCGCTGTTCTGCCATGCCTATCCTATGATGACCGGAAGAAGAGTATCCTTGTTACCCAGATCAGGGGAAGCAGGCACTGCTGCCAGGCTCCAGTGTCTCTGCTTCCTCTCGGTCATGTAGTCATCACCAAGCATACGCAGCTATGAATGGGTATTCTGGGGGCCTTGTTAAAGCTCCTCAGGGAGCTAATCCCAGCTCTCCTGGCCAGAGAGGGTTTGGTGGAAGGGGGGGAAAGAAACAAAAATGTTACAGTCTTACCCCTCCTTAGGTCCCTAGGTGGGTTTAAATGACCTGACCAGGCCTGTGAAGAAGGGGAACCCAAATAGGTAAGATCTCTGGGGAGGAGGGAAATCGCATGCTGCATGTGTAATGGGGCCACTGCTGGCCCTTGGTGTCAGTCAGTGGTTAGCATGGGAAAATCACCTTCTCTGGGGCACGAGGGTGTGAACTCAGGAATGGCCCCTTCCTATAATGATGCTTGAGTCTCCTTGAAGCACTGCCTCCGAGCAGGATGAACTGCCCCATCTCTGTGGAGTGTGAGCGCTGATGTCTGATCACTTAACAGGACATATCTGGTCACCTTAGCAGACCCTTCCAGCTGTGTACTCTGGTGTGATGTGGGAGCAGAGGATCGCTACTTGGATTCGGGGGTTGCTGAGGTGGGACACAAGGAATTAGCCAACCCTCCTGCCACAAATATATAGTTCCCTCCACCCTTGCCCAAAAAAGGGTGGTGGGCAGCAATGTGAGAGGGCAGCTGTCAGAATGTATAGCTTACAGGGATGCTGTCATGGCTGGACAGGGGGTGTGAACTATGTGGGTTAGGGAATGGGAATAGCTCTGATGTATTCTTCTGGGTCCCTGCTGCATGGCTTGTCTAAGGTTTAAAGCATCTTGGATTAGATTGTTCCTTACATCCTCTCTGCTCAGGCATCAAAGAGGTAGCTAATGTGTGTAACCAGAGCCTGATGAAGCTGGTCATCCCAGAAGATGACGAAACGGATGAGGGCAAGCAATCCCTGAGCCTCCAGATGGAACCCAAGGAGGAATCCCTCTCCCAGCAGCAGGTGACCTCCAGCGGTGAGTCCCTTTTCATTGTGGCTTTGTCAGGATGGCACCCAAATAGTTAGCATTTTGGTGCTTCACCTGCATGTCCCAGGGTTGCCTGTTCAGACATATTCCAGTCAAGGCCTTGGGGAGCTGATGGACAGAGCACCTGTGAAGCGCAACATGGGACCCATTTATTAGATGTGTGATTGGGCAGATCGGTCCATCAGAATCAACGAAGCTGACGCTTTCCCCATTGGCTACCGTTCTTTTGCTGCAGTACAGTCTGCTAAATGCATATAAAATGTTGCATTTCCTGGCACTTCAAATCCTATTTCACAACTGTGTCCTCAGTCAAGAGAGACCTTCTGATCTGTCTTTTGTTTGTACAGCACGCAGCACAGTGGATCTGCTCCTCCTGATTGGAGCCTGAGGCTGCATCTACACCGCAGGGACTCTACTGACACAGCTACAGCACCATAGCTATGTCGGCATAATCACCTAGTGTAGACACAGCCTATGCCAGCAGAAGGAGTTTTCCATCTGGTGTAGGAACACCGCCTCAACACTGGGGGCTAGGTCAGCATAGCTACAACACTCAGTGGTGTGGATTTTTCACACTCCTCAGCGATGCTGCTATGTCTAACGCAATTTTAAGTGTAGACCAGGCCTGAGTGCTTCCGTAATATTAAATCCTAGAAACCATTGAGCATTGTAACTTGGCATGCCCCTTTACAATGCGCAGTCTAGCCTCAATATAGCCCTTGCTCAGTCTAAAGTCAAATGGCTGCAATGCAGGGGTTGTCTGTGGAAGCTATTGTTTGAGCATTTACATCATGGTAGTGAAATGATTTTTCCTTATTCCTGGTTGTAGGTTATGTCAGTACATAATTAACATGGAATCTAGGGACATGGCTCTTGCCTTTTGCATAGGTCCTTGTAAGCTTCATTATTTGGGATTGAGGAGAATTGTAATGACCTCACTCAAGTACCAGTACAACCCAAGTAGTGTGCATGTGCGTCCCTAAACTTTTTTTGCCACTTGCCAGTAACAAAAGTATTTAAAGGGACTTTGTCACCTGAAAAATCACATTTCTGTCTGAATTATTTTGCCTTCTACTATAATGTAAAACCCAAGGTCACTGTAATTGACAGACTTCTTTCTCCAGTTTACTTTATGCACTTGACAGTACCATGTGTATTTGTTAGGTGGTAATGCGCAGGAGCCCCTGTCAGAGACCAGGACTGCATTGTGCTAGGCGCTGTACAAAAAGAGGAAAAAAGCGCAGTTTCTGCCTCAGAAAGCTTGTAGTCTAGTCAGTTTCATGGCTCCCCCTGTACAGTTTGTGAGTTTCTCTTGCAGAGCAACCCTGGAAAATAAATCCTCTTTGAAGATAAGAAAAAGCCAACATTCTGAGTAGATTCCCCCCAGTGTGCAGTCTGGGACTGTGATGGGGCCCACTGTGCACCCCTGCTTGCTGGGAGCCGATCAAAAAAACAAGGTTTAAGCCAAACAATGTACAAGCCTAACAAGTTGCAAGCGAAAAACTAGCCAACAAGCAACTCACAAACCAATTAAGCCAAAAACAAGCCCAATTTCTGTGGTCTCCCCACGGGTTTGGCATGTCTGGTAACAACTAGGATAAGTGAGGAAAGGTTAGAGAATAACCCTCCCTCCTTTTTTTCATTTTGTTGTCTTTGCACACTTGACAGCAGTATGCATAGTCTGTCACTGTTTCTGCTGCATAGTCTGTTTCTCCTGTTTCTGTTGACATGTTAAAAACAGAGGAAAGAAACATTCAGAATATAAAGACTGTAAAACAAACTGCCCTGAAGAATCACAGCACAGGTGAAATACATTAGGACTGCATCTAAAGAATTGTTGAAACCAATTACAGTCAAGTTGATGGAACCTACATACATTTACCAAATTTCAGGATCTATCAAACCTGTGTACTACCCATATTGCTATGGTGGTCAAAAACCTGTACCCTGCTACAGGTAGACTTGGAGCAGCCAGCAGTGTTCTGTGTGTGCTGTCAGCCCCAAATCCTGAGTAAAAAGTGGTTTGACCTTTGTGCAAAATGTCAATCTGGCAAAAACCCAGCTTACCTTCAGTCACTCCTCATATCCTGAAGTGGCATTGCATGCTTTTTCAGCCATGTCGCCAGGATGGACAAAAGCATCCCAGCACACCGTGCCCTCAGATCTCCGTTGGCATGTGATGGGGTGCACACTCTGACCCTGCCTGGCACTGCTTGTGGGGCCACTCCAGAGAGACCACTGTCCTTAGTAGACTGTGTTGTGTCAGTGACCACAGGCAGTGGCATCACAGCTGGCATTGTGTAGCGCATTTCCCAGCTCTATCTTAATCCTAGGAGTCAATGAGTCTTTGGGGCAGCATGGAAGAGGCCATGTAAGTGATCACAATGCTAATAAGAAGAGCAACCGTACTTCACAAGTCTCCTGTCAAGTCACTGCCTGGTAGGTCCTTAGGATCTTTTTAAATGTGGCTTGATCGTCACCCAAAAAGTTATTTATAGGGGCTATCCTACTTATGGCCAACAGTTGACACAGAAGTGTGTTTAGCAGTTAACTCCTCCTCACCTAGAGGTCTGGGGCAGTGACCATCTTTTTGTTATGTTTGTGCAATGCATAGCACAGTGGGGTCCATGACTAGGGCTCACCACCACCACCAATTTGAATACTAGTTGCTTTTAAGGTAGCATCTACATTAAGAAAATGACCTAATGTATTGCTGACAATGGCTATCAGCAACAGGTCCCCTGTGGTGTGTCTGTTGCCAAAACAGTTAGTCTTGATTGCACTCGAGCATGATCATCCACTGACTCTCAATCACATTTTCTGCAGGGGTGTTGAAAATAGGTTCACTTAGTTCACTTTACCTCTTTGCCATTGGCTCAGGACAAACTGATGCAGATGACTGCGGTCAGAAACAAATGACTTTTCCAGTGCATGCAGGGCTTTCAGGCCGCACATCCATAGCTGGCAACACCATTCTCCTAGTAGCCTAGATAGCAAACTCCATGAAAGACGTGGGAGTGCGATCACTCTCGTCTGGGATTTAGGGGCTGGCAGTTTCGTTTGTATATGGCAGGGGTGGGCAAACCGTGGATCGTGAGCCGCCTGTGGCTCTTTTTCAGTTAAAATGTGCACGGCTCATGGAGGCTGCACCCTGTCCTGGCACTGGAGGCCCAGGCTTGGCATATCCCAAGGCTTCCTTCCCTGGCTGCAGCCCTGCTGGGAGGTTGCAGGGCTGCAGCGGGGAAGGCACATCCCAGCACTTTCTTAGATGTTTCCAAAGCAGGGGTGTAACCCGAAACTTCCTGACTGTCACCATGTGTGCAGCGTGAACGAAACAGCTGGAGAAGCAGTTTTTTCCAGCTGTAGCATTGGTGGTTCAGTGGTAGAATTCTCGCCTGCCACGCGGGAGGCCCGGGTTCGATTCCCGGCCAATGCAAGAGCGAGGCTTTTTTTCTTAATTAAAAGTGATTGCCATGCACCAACCTAACCCTCTGTCCTAGTTAGCCCTTTCCAGGGGACTGACTTAACAAATATGAAACCGAGTAAATCCCATTTCTAGCACCATGGGGAGAGGAGCGTTCACATTAAATATAACCCCTGTGAATCGCCCCTAGTTCTAGTGTTGCAATGTTGCGGTGTTTTCACTAGATCACGCTTTGCCTGGTCTCTGTTCAGTTGCTGACGTAGCAGCTTCAGTGTATGTGAGGAGCAGTTCCTGGCCCGGGGTGTCCCTGGGACTCTGGCCCTGTCTGCGCTATGGAAGCACATCTGCAGTTCTGCCACCTGAGCGCCAGCGATGCCCCGACGTCGATGGTGGGGAGTTTCCATCAGTGTCAATATCCCACTTCTCCAAGTGGCCCGAGCGAAGTCACTGGAAGAATTCCTTCGCTGACCTAACTGCACCTACAGCGGGGTCAGGCTGGCTTACGTACGGCGCTTGGGGTGTAAATTTTTCACACCCCTGAGTGCCGTGACTGGGTCGATCTAAATGTTGTGTAGACCAGGGCTCAGTCCTTAAACGACTGGTCAGCCTTTCCGGCAGCCGGGATATTGGTGGCTCGGTGTAGAATTCTCGCTTGCCATGGAGGCCACCGGCATTTGATTCCTGGCCAGTCTAGGAGCAGCCTTTTGAAATGTAAGCCAGTCTATCTGGAGGGGTGTGGGACTGCAGTGTGAAACGTACAGCCCCAGACTTCTCTTCCTAGGCTGAGGTTTTCAACCAGCTTTGCTGCTTTAGTTGCTGGTTGACAGGCTGCCAGCCTTTTGTAACCATCGGAGAGCAGGCGCTGCTCTCTCCCTCCCTCAGGGTGCTGGCTTGGGCACTGCAGAATCTGCTCTCCAGTGACTCTGAGCTGATCAGGAGCAGAATGAACAGTGTTCACATCACCCGCTCCTTGTACAGAGGCAGATCTGGCCAGGGTGGGGAAGACTCTGACTTGGATCTGGATTTCAAGATGTAACCAGTATCTCGTAGCCTAAGGAATTGTATTACCGGGAGTAGATTCCAGGTAGCAGCTAGAGGGGTTCAGGAACGGGGGGTGGGGCTGGAAGGTGTGTAGGGAGGAAAATATTTCCCCTTCCCCACCTATGGTTGAATGGCTTAAAAACCAGTGCAATTCCCAGTGATACGTGCTGCGTTAAGAGCCCTGCAGCCAGAGGCCTTGTTCACCCCCAGACAGCTACCGTATGAACTTTCCTATCATGCCTGTTCCCTGACCCAAATGGGACCAGTTCTGGGTCTGAGAGAGCCAGCCTGTGTGGCATTCAGGCCTTCCCTTGCCTGTCAATGGAGGGACTGGTCAGTGCCAGATGGGGTGGTATGGTTTGCGACTGGACACCCTGCCCCATTACTAATTGGACTGGGACCCAAGAGGTCCGTTCTCAGATATACCGGTCAGTCACTGGATGGGGAAGTGACCAGATCGTCTAGTTCAGTTCCATTAACTTAATTTTGGGGCAAGGTTGGAATTTCTTCCTCTGAAGTTAGGAAACCAGTTTGCAAGCCTTGATGGTGCTAGCTGGGTTCCTTTTATGTAAGGGCTGTGGCAAGGTGGCCGATGTTAGTCTGGTGGGTCCTGCGCTTTTCTTGGCGGGGAGCTAAGATGCCACCCTTTGCCCCTGCTCTTGGGTGCCGAGGGCCCCGCGACTAGCCCGGGAAGGTGTTCGAGGAGGGAAGCGGGGGAAGGGTCTGGGTTTGCTCCGAGTCCCAGCCCCTCTCAACTCCTGCGGGTTTCTTACCCTCATCCCCCTTAGGTGGGGTTACCCTCGGTCCTTAAATGCTGGGGGGAAGGGAGTCTCCCTGCCCTGCTGGGGGAGGGTCTCCCTTCCTTCAGTTCTCAAGTCTTCCAAATCTCTCCACACACCTCCAAGCTCCAGTCCTTTTTTCCTTCCTCCTCCTCCTATGTCTGCCTGATGCAGGGGGGTTTTATTAGGTTCCTAACAGGGCCTTAATTGACTGCAGGTGCTCCGATTAACCTGCAGCTACCTTCCCTAGTCTACAGGGAACCACGCCTTAATTAGCCTTGAGCTTGTATATTTCTCCTCTAGCAATCTCCCACTGCTCCCTGGCCCTCCTGTATCACACATCTCTTCTCCCCCCCGCTCAGCACCGCGGGGTTGGGTTACTTGGGACGAGAGACAGTGTTGTCGTGACAGGTTGTCCGCGTTGCCCTGTTGGCTTCCGGTACTATGCTGTATCCAGAAGTGGAAAGGTTGTAGGGATAGAAACCATCTAGTCACTCGTGCATTCTTCTCCTTGTTTGTGTGCATCCATTGGAGTGGGGCATGGTCTGTCACAAGGGTGAACCGCCGCCCCAGCAGATAGTACCATAGAATCTCCATGGTCCATTTAACCGATAGGCATTCCTTTTCTACTACGGCGTACTGTTGTTCCCTGGGCTGGAGCTTTTGGCTAAGGTAAAGGATTGGGTGCTCCTCATCCCCCACCATCTGTGAAAGGACAGCCCCAAGTCCTACCTCTGAGGCGTCTGTTTGTAGGATGAATTCCTTTTTGAAATCTGGGGCTATGAGCACCGGGTGGCTGCAAAGGGCCGTCCTTAGGTCTGTGAAAGCTTCTTCTGCCGTTTCGGTCCACTTAACTATCTCCAGGCCCCGAGCTCTTATCAGGTCTGTCAGAGGTGCCGCCCTTGTGGCAAAGTGAGGGATGAACCGGCGATAGTACCCTACTATCCCTAAGAATGCTCTGACTTGCTTCTTGCGGCTTGGGCGAGGCTATTCCTGTATTGCCTCCCCTTTGTTCCATTGGGGCTTCACCAGGCCCCTTCTGACTACATACCCGGGGTTTCTGGCCTCAGCTAACCCTATTGCACATTTGGACGGGTTAGCGGTGAGGCCAGCCTGTCTAAGAGCATCTAGTACTGCTTCCGCTTTCCCCAGGTGCGTCTCCCAGTCAAGGCTATGTATTACCACATCATCTAAATAGGCAGCAGCATACTTGGCATGGGGTCGAAGTAATCTGTCCATAAGTCGCGGGGGGCCCCATGGAGCCCCAAAGGGAGGATGGTATATTGGGAAAGGCCATCAGGTGTAGAGACAGTGGTTTTTTCCTTGGTGTCCTCAGCCAGGGGGATCTGCCAGTAGCCTTTTGTCAAATCCAAGGTGGTTAAGTATCGGGCCTTAACCTAACTGATCCACCAGCTCATCAATACGTGATATTGGGTAGGCATCGAATTAGGATACCTCATTTAACTTCCGGAAGTCGTTACAAAACCTCAGGCTGCCGTCAGGCTTGGGGACCAAGACAATAGGGCTGGACCACTGGCTGTGAGATTCCTCAATCCCCCCAAGTTCCAGCATCTTCTTTACTTCTGCCCTAATTTCTTCTCTCTTTTTTGCCTCTGGTATGCGATAGGGTTTATTGTCACCCTTGCTCCAGGACAGGTGACTATGTGGTGTTGGATCAGCATCGTATGGCCTAGTTGTGTGGAGAACACGTCTTGGTTCCTCTGGATCATTTCAACAACCTCTGTATGTTGTTCTGGGGCTAATTTGGGGATATCTTTACCTGCCCTTGTGGGCCATCTGCCTGGGATTGAACTGGCAGGACAGCCAGGAATGTCTCCCGATCATGCTAGGGTTTCAGTAAGTTGATATGGTATATCTGCTCTGGCCTTTGGCGATCTGGCTGCTTCACCTTATAATTCACCTCCCCAACAGCTTCCACGATCTCATAGGGTCCATGCCAGCTGGCCAGGAGCTTACTTTCTGTTGTTGGTACCAGCACCCGTTCTCCTGGTTGAAGTTCTTGTGTTCTTGCCCAACGATTGTAGTAGGTTCGTTGGGACTCTCGTGCTTTTTCCAAATGCTCTCGTACTATGGGGGTCACTTGGGCTATTCGTTCTCTCATTTGGGCTACATGTGTAATGACGTTCTTCCCCAGGTTGGGTTGTTCCTCCCATTCTTCCTTTGCGATGTCTAATATGCCGCATGGGTGGCGTCCATACAGTAACTCGAAGGGAGAGAATCCAGTAGATGCTTGGGGAACTTCTCCCATACCTGAAGTTTGCAATATGAGGAGGGTATCCCAGTCTTTGGCCACCACCTTTCGGATCATGCTCTTGAGAGTTCGGTTAAATCGCTCAACCAGACCATCTGTTTGGGGATGACAGACTGAGGTTCGCAAGGTTTGGATGTGGAGCAGGGTACATAAGTCTTTCTTTACTCTCAACATGAAGGGAGTCCCTTGGTCTGTCAGGATCTCCTTAGGGATGCCTACCCTAACAAGGCCTTAATTGACTGCAGGTGCTCCAATTAACCTACAGCCACCTTCCCTAGTCTACAGGGAACCACGCCTTAATTAGCCTTGAGCTTGTATATTTCCCCTCTAGCACTCTCCCACTGCTCCCTGGCCCTCCTGTATCACAGGGCTAAAGGGGGAGGAAGGCTGGGCTGAGGTGGATGAGTAACCTCTAAATGCTAGGTGGACTTGGAGAGCTATAGCTTGAGCTTGTCCTAGTGAAAATATCCTCATGGCCACCTTCCTTCACTAGAGGGCACCAGGAGAGAGTCTGTCTGTGTATGGACCCATGTTAATGTAAAGTGCCTGCTGCAGTGTGGTGTTGGACCTGAGGGTGAGCTCTTCCAGAGGCCTGAATGACTGTCTTCATTGCACAGATCTACAGGGTACTGCGGTGTTCTCCAGCCAGGGGGATGAGTAGGAGTTGCTGTCTCAATCTGCCCCATCAAAGCAGCTAACTAGTGCTCCTTTGATCTTCCTCTAGGCTGCCTGGAAGCCTCCAGCAATTCCAGCCTCAGCAGCACCAGTGTCTTCAATGCAAGCAGGTAAAGTAATGGTTATTGCTTGAGAATGGCATGCATGGGATACAGGTCAGTGAGACCTCCTTTCCCTTTTGTTGAGGCGGGGAGAGACTTGGCTGGGGTGAGGATGGAGGGGCGTTGTCAGGGCTGCAATAAGGGCAGCAGACCAATACATGTGCGCTGACAAGGCTGTCAGAGGGAGGCCTGGCCATGCAGGCTCTGGCTCTAACCAGTGCCACTCCTGTGCTCTTATAGACTCCAAACTCCTTTTTGAGGGCCCCTAAAACAAGACACTTGGCCTTCTGGGAGCTGGCATGCCCAAGGGAGGGGTGGGCGTTTGTGAGGCAGGAGCTCTCTGCAGGGGGTGAAGGAATCAGCGCTTCAAACGCGCCATGGACAGAACCACGACCCCACCTGTCCCAGCCTTCCCTGCTCACCCCCTTCACTCCACCCAGCATGAGACCCTGATGACTGAAAAGGGGAGGCTCCCGGCCCAATTCGCAGAGACCTCCCAGAGGAGGGGAGAAGGCGAAGTAAATTCAGCTGTATCCCTGCCTGCTTGGGAAGCCAAGGAGATCACTGGCCTATTGCGAGTCTTGTTAGCTCAGCTCCGTCCAGGAGGTCCCCCCAGCAATGGATGCTGCTCTAGGAACCTAGAGAGAGAGTGGGAATAGCTGCTGTACGTTTCTGTCCTGCACAGCTGGGGTGAAGTTGCAGAAACTCTGCGTGGGGTCAGGTTTCACAGGGGCAGCCGTGTTAGTCTGTATCAGCAAAAACAACGAGCAGTCCTTGTGGGACCTTAGAGACTAACAAATTTATTTGGGCATAAGCTTTCATGGGCTATGAAAAGCCCATGAAAGCTTATGCCCAAATAAATTTGTTAATTTCTAAGGTGCCACAAGGACTGCTCGTTGTTTCTCCGTGGGGTGCCCCTTTGGATGTATTAACCGTCAGCGCCATACTGTCCCGCATTCCTTGCACAGGCACAGCTTAATGAAAGGCTTTGTTCTAAGCTTGGGTAAAACCTGAATAGACTGCAATACCACCGGCTCACCAGAGAGTGTCACTGTAACTCAGGTGTTAATATGCCTTTGCTCTAGTTTAAAGGCACACAATCAAACTACAGTCCCATCTCATGGGTTACTGTACCTGCTGGAGTCCCCCTGTTAGTTTTTGTGCCTTTACAGTCCTAGGCCCTGAGTCAGTAGACACACGTGCTTAACCGTAAGTGCAACAACAGTGGCCATAGAAGTCACCGGCGACTTGTCACCTGCTTAAAGTGAAGTACTTATCAGTGTGCAGTTTTGAGCCTTATCTCTCCCCTGTGTGTAACACAGCCTGGAAACTGACTAGCCAATGGGCTGTCAAATGCACCAAGTTAATGATAAAAGCCTTATACTGCAGAGTGTTAACTACTCACCAGTGGGCCAGTCCTGGAGTGTCCTGTCCCCCAGCGCATCACTGCCTTCCTTTGGAGTGTCAGGTATCTTTCCTGGAGAGGGGAATACCATCCCAGATTTGATGGGCTGATCTGCAGTGGGTCCCCCATCATTACTGGCATAATGGGAGACCCAAAGACCTCACCTGATATCAGAACCCCTTGTGCTAGGTGCTGTACAAACGTGGTAAGAGACAGTCCCTGCTCTGAAGCATTTACAACCAAAGTCGACACAGAGGGTGGGCGGGAGGGGGGGGAAAGGAAGTGTAGCGAGGTTACATGACTTTTTTTTCCAAGGTCTCCCTACAGATTAATAGCAGAGCTAGGATTAGAACCGGAAGCAGCTTCATGTCCCCCCACTCCTGCTCCTATGTTTAAGGGCAGCCAGGTGGCTCCGTGCGCTGCCCCCCTCCCAAGTGCCGCCCCCGCAGCTCCCATTGGCTGTGGCCTGGCCGCGCCTCCACGTAGGAGTCAGAGGAGGAACATGCTGCTCCTTCCAGGAGCTGCTTGAGGTAAGCGCTGCCTACAGCCTGCACCCCTGATCCCCCTCCCGCCCTCCGAACCTCTTGGTTCCAGCCCGGAGCACCCTCCTGCACCCCAAATACCTCATCCCCAGCCCCACCCCACAGCCTACACCCCTAGCCTGGAGTCTCCTCCTGCACCCTGAACTCCTCATTTCTGGCCCCACCCCAGAGCCTGCACCCCCAGCCAGAGCCCTCACCCCCTCCTGCACCCCAACCCCAATTTCGTGAGCATTCATGGCCTGCCATCCAATTTCCATACCCAGATGTGGCCCTCGGGCCAAAAAGTTTCCCCACCCCTAGGCCACCGAACTGTGTCCCTTTAATAGTGCAGTGAATTTTTTATACCCAAGCTGTCGCCGATGCAAGTTTCATCAGTGGACTTTACATGTAAGATGTTAAATAGAATTCGTTTAATGGCCTGTCGCTTCAGAGCCCACTCGCACAGAGCATTCACTGCTGATGCGGACAGTCTGCCAAGCTGATTTCTCAGGAGCTTTTTTTTTCTTTAAATCGTGCGGGTGAAGTGTGCGGTGATACTGGAAATGAGCAGCCTCCGCCCACAGGGCCAGTACAGCACAGGCGGTGCTGGGGCAAGTTTCCCCACACCCCGCTATTGCACCCCATCCACACTCTGAAGAGATGGATGCGAGCGTTGGTCAGTTTCTGTGCCAAAGGCCTCTGTGGCTCTCCAAAGTGAGCGTCGATGTGATGGCTGCTCTCGCACTGTCGACCTTTGTCCTTTAGGAAACGGACTGAGTCAGCAGCTGGATGTGAACTGTTGTTGGTCACTCTCCATCTGGGTTGGAGACAAGCTGATGGCTGAGAGAGAGAGAAGGCTCCTTCAATCCCGTGAGACATCCAGTCATGCATGTTCCAGTGAAGCATTGATGCTGATGGATCTGGAGCCTTAGCCCCCTACTCTGAAGTGCCTTGCAAAGGGATGCAGATCAGCTCAGGCAGATGGATGGGGTGATCTAACAGGGCTCCCCCATTCCTGACTTCTAGAATAGTGTAGCCGGATGTCTTTTTAAAATGCTGCCTAGGTTCTTATCCCACCTGCAGCCTCCTCGTATCTGAGCGCCGTGCAATCCATGCATTAAGTGACGTGACCGTCACATGGGGCTTGCCCTTGCTCTCGTCCTCTCCCCGGGGAGATGTGTGCGCGCAGTGGCACGTTTTGTTTTGATAAGGTTTTGTTTGTTTTCGGATGTCCATGCTGCTCTTTGTTTGTTGAGAAGGCAGGTTGCATTGGAGTACAAGGTGGGAAGGCTTCTCATGATACTTAATTCCTGGGGGAGTCTGAGCCATAGTCTGGGACTGGCCCCCTAGAATGTGCTCTGTCCTCTGCAGACGAGTTCAACCCACGTGCTAGGAAATTCTGTTGTACCAGGGGAGTGGAGATGTTGACCATTCTTTATCCTGGAGCTTTGAACACCCTGGGCCCAGGGTATTGAGCACCTTGAAGACAAACCTTGAAGGGGACTCTCCACTGGCTTCCCATAGAGTGTAGGACAGGGGTGATGTGTTGCTGAGGAGAGATCCTGCAGTGTTTCCAGAAGGCGGATGGCTTCAGGCCCAGGTATGTAGCAAGTACTGGGCAGCTTTGACACAAACTAATTTACACTGCACAGTATTAACTACTCACCAGTGAGCCAATCCTGGAGTGTCCCATCCCCCAGTACACCACTGCCCTCCTTGGGAGCGTCAGGTATTTCTTCTGGAGAGGGAAATACCATCCCATATTTGATGGGCCGATCCACAATAGCAATTCCTATGTAAAAGCCCACTTCTTGAGGTTAAAAGGGGCAGAGCTACTTGGATTTTCCCCTGTTAGATGTTTTCAAGGACCTGAAGCTGGGGTGCACTGGGTGCTACAGATGCACAAAAAAATCAAGGAAGGACCTATTAACAGTGGGTAAGGAGGCCCCTTCCTGGCATTTAATGACTAGCTGCGGAAACTGAGGCCCTGAGGCAAAGCCAACTCAAAGGTAATCGTTGTTATAACCCTAGTACAATAGTTTCCCCTGGGCATTTTCTTCTCTTGCATGCTGAGCTCTGTGCTGCTGCTGTCTGGTAGCAGTACTAGTCAGGCTGTTTTGGTTTTTTAGCCATTACTGGCATGGAAGAAGCAAAACTCCCTTGTTGGTGACACACAACAGCACTGAGCTCATTCTGTTCTGCCCTTTCCCCCACTCTGGGTGTGTCTAGCTCCTTGTGGCAGGGACCATCCGCTATTGTGTGTGCACAGAACCTAACACAGTGGGGCCCTGGTCCACAACTGTGGCTCCTAAGCACTACAGTACCACAAATAATTAACCTTCTGTACCAAGCAGATAACATCCGCCATTGGGGCTAGGGTTACTTCAGAGAGCGGAAGTAATGAGGCGGTGGATGTGTCTCAGCTGAGTGGATGTTAGAGAGCAGGATTTGCAGGGAGCCTTGTTTCAGAGCTATCCTAAACCTTTTGAAACAGGAGACGCCGGGCAGGAATTAGCAGTGGGTTTGACGGTCATTGGACAAGCTTACCCCATCCCGCATGAGCGTGGCTCTGCCCCACAGCAGGAAATTCCAAGGGATTCATTTAGCTTCCAGGGATGCCAGTTCCAGGTGGCTATGGGTGTTTATACAGACGTAACTCAGCCACGTGCTCTTACAGGAGGGTTCAGTCTTGGACAGTCACAGAGCATCAATCACTACAGCTGCCAGATCTCCTCTGTTCATCCAACGCTGCCCCTCCCTCCTAGTGCATTGCTATCAAGCTGCTGTGCAGCTCCGGATTTTGAGGCCTCCTAGCAGTGAGAGCTGGGCAGTGCCCTGCCCCTGCAACAACACGAGATTGCTTGCAGCATTCGCTTTGCCGGGAATCTCAACTTGAATGCCTAGATTGTGGAAGGGAGTGATTGGCAGCACAGCACCCAGCCATCTTGTTTACACAGGTGTACGCAGACTGGGCTGTCAGGCAGCCTGGCTCTTGCCTAGTCCCTAGCTTGGACTGTGAGACAGGACCCCTGCCATCTGCCACAGAGCACTGAGTTGGACTCTGCTCACTCCTCATGCGAGCTCTGCTTGTGAGCAGTGACTCTAGCTCAGCAGAATGCAAGGCAGCAGTGTAACTATCCGCGTTCGAGGCCGTGCTGCCCAGCGCACCCGCTCGCTCTGCTAGAGGCTCAGTGACCCTCAAACTGGTGCTGGGCTGAAATACGCCTCCAATCATTGCTACTGCACTCCAGCTCTCCCTTCCCCTCCCATCTGATAGGCAGGGGAAGGAATCCAGGAACCCAGAGACAAACGGCGTGTGTTGAGGGCTTCACTCGCCACTTCTTGGGGCAGATGTCCGCTGGCCCCAGTATTCACTGTCCATGGCCTCTGTGGAAGGAAGATTTAAAAAAAAATAAATAAATAAAAAAAATTCCCATCCCCTAAACAGGGACTGGGGTGATCTCCTTCCAGGGGTGCATGGGGTCTTGTCTAATCTTGCTACAGAGTTCCATGGAGGTGGGGTTAGAAACGGAATGGTTGGGGAGAGAGCGGGGGCTAGGGTTTGAGAGATGTGTACAGAGAAGGGAGAGTGAAAAACATGAAGGACTCCGCTCAAGGCAAGAAAGGAAGGGGAAAAGGGGATTGAAATGAAAAAACTATTGTAAGACTAATCAAAGGAAACCCAGCAAGGTGCATACGCTGTTGAACAGAGCACAGTGCGCGTGTTCCTGTCTGTCACCCCGAGTTCCAGCTCAGGAGACCCATTGCAGTAGAATGTTGAGACACTCAGTATTGCCCTGTGCCGGCGAATACGGCCTGCACCCGCCAGAGCACATTGACGGTGCTTATTGGAGCACTCTGAGCTGCAAAGGCAGAGGCTCTTCAAGCCATCTGTGAGGAGCAGATAGTGGTGAGGCTGCTCTTAGAAAAGCTGCTTTCAGAATGGCCTGGGATGGAATGAATCCGTGAAAGCTGTTTCCGTAAGCCCTACTCGGTTTGCGTCTTCTCTGCGTTCGTGGAAGGCCGTTTCAACTTCTGCTCTGGTGAGGAGTGTCGGGGGAGGGGGGAGCTGAATGATTTACTTAAATGTCCTAATGATTTACAGGCTTTACTACTCCTGAAGTCAGTAGCCGCTTGGCTTTATACAGGGAAGTGAAGCTCAGCTGAAAGTAATGAGGCTCAGTTCTTACTGCCTTCTGCTGGGTATAGGCCCCCCTCCCAAGAAAACAGTGAGAGGAAGAAAACAGACTCCTGATTCAATACCAGTGTTGCAAGCAGCTCCGTACTTTACTGTCTGACCTTGGCTTCAATGTTGCCTGCCCTCCCCCACGGCCAGGTGCAGATGCTGAAAGTCCATAACTTTTTAGAAGTGGGGGGAGCATGTTAGAAAGATTCCTTCTCCCCCGTTGTGAGTGTTTGTATCAGGATGGTAAATCCGCACACGTGCGAGCAAGAGAGAGAAATGCACTTTAGAACAACTTGTTCAGGAAGTTTCAGCTGCCTTTTTCTTTGTCTTAGCATACCCTCCTTCTTGTCTTAGCATACCCTAGAATGAGCAATTAAGCGCTTTGCCCTGGCTATACTTCTCTAGACACTTAACTTGCGGGTTCCCAGGCTGCAAATGGAGAAGCAAAATCAAAGTAGCAACTGAAAAACCGGTGTTGGCATTAATGGAATATGGTGAGCAGAATGTGAGAGATGGCCCTCCAATGGCTACAAGCATTCAGGCAGGGGGGGAAGGTGTTCCTGCTTCCCGCCGCCGGTTCTGTGTCTGAGAAACTGCACAGTATTGTGTCTAAGTTGCTGAAGATGTTATTCAAGAACGCAGAGAAAAGGAGGTCTGCACGTTTGACCTATGGGCACTGGGTGTGTTGCCTTGTTGGGACAGAAAGTGGTACCACCCTAAAGTGCATTGTGAACATTCAAAAACTCTTCCACAACAATCACCAGTCTCACTGTTGACTGAAAAAGGACTGTGAGCCTTGGTAGAATCCCAGGAGGACCATCGATATGTTCAGCTACTTAAGCATGTAGAAATGTGCACTGAATGCCTGGAGTACTCTAATGCAAACAGAACGTGTCTTCCACAACCTTAGAATCTACTAAGCCACACCATCTGTAGGCTGGTCAAAGGACATTTGAGAGGGATTTTGTAGAGTCACTACCAGACTGGGACCCTACCTTCAGTCTTGGTGGAAATCTGGCTTGATCGAATAGAACGAGAGCCACGTTTCAGAGACACTGTGGAATCTGCCATAACTTAACAGAATTGATTCCAAAGGTCATAAGCTGAGCCTAGATCATGAAGGGGAGGTGCTTTCGGAATAAGGGGCTGAGATGACGAGAACAGCTTGCTTGGAACCGCCTTCACGCGGTTGGAGGGAATGAGTGCAGAAGCTGGTGAAGAAGACCAAGGAAACCCTTGAAAGGGCCTTTGGGGGAGTGTGAGGTGGGGACAGGCTGTAGGAGAAGTTATCCAGGGGGTAGGAGGAGCAGGCTTTATGGAACAGAGGAGAGTGCTGAAGGAACGTAGTAGTAGGCTGTCTGCTAGGTTCTCCTAATACAAAGGTGGGCGAACTATGGCCCGCAGGCCACATTTGGCCCATGGGACCATCCTGGCTGAGGAGGCTAGCCTCCATCCCCTCCCCGAGAGCCTCAGCGCGCCGCGCCGTCAGCGCTCTGACCCGCCACTCCTTCCAGGCAGTGCGGCCGCATGGCTGGATCCAGCTGGGCAGCGGAGCTGCAAGCTCCTGCCGCTCTGAGAGGCATGGTAAGGGGGTGGGGAGCAGGGGGGTTGGATAAGGGGCAGGGAGCCCCTGGGGCAGTCGGGGACAGGGGGCGGTTGGATGCGGCAGAGGTTCCGGGGGTGTGGTGGTCAGAGGACAGGCAGTAGGGGGCGGTTGGATAGGGGATGGGGTCCCGGGGGGAGGAGTTTGGATAGGGCTTGGGGCAGTCAGGGGACAGGGAGCGGGGGGGTTGGATGAGTTGGGGTTCTGGGAGGGGCAGTCAGAAGGCAGTTGGATGGGCAGAGGTTCTGTGTGGGGGGGACAGGGAACGGGGGGTTGGATAGGCATGGGAGTCCCTGGTGGGGTGTGGATGGGGGTTGGGGCAGTCAGGGGACAGGGAGCAGAGGAGGTTGGATAGGGGGTGGGGTCCCGGGGGGGGGGCGGTCAGGGGACAAGGAGCAGGGGGGTTAGATGGGTCGGTACTTCTGAGGGGGGCAGTCAGGGGCTGGGAGGGGGGGATAGGGGGCGGGGGCAAGGCTGTTTGGGAGGCACAGCCTTCCTTACCCAGCCCTCCGTACAGTTTTGCAACACCGATGTGGCCCTCGGGCCAAAAAGTTTGCCCACCCCTGTCCTAATGCACCTGTCATGATATCTAGGAATCCTCATTCTAGTGTTTAGATAGCTGGGCCTCTAGGTCATGGCAACAGGAGTATTTCCATGCCCTTTTCAGATGGGGATGGAACAGTTAGTGTATGACAGGGAAGTGAAGAGCACTTCCCAGCACATCCGCTTCCTAGTGTGAAATCCCTCATTAACAGGACTTCAGTAGGGTTGTGGTGCTATGGCTTTAAAAAAAAAAGGGGGGGGAGGAGGAAAAGCTTTGGGTTTCTGCAGACGTGTTCCTCCAAGATTCTCCTGTGTCATCAAGGCCTTATGTACCTAGGTTAATGGGCCACGCTAACTGCTCAGAATAGCAGCTTTCCCTCAAGTACAGTGTCCTGTCAGATGCTTTACAGGAAGGTTCAAGAAACTGTAACAGAGGCAGTTGTGGGACAACCCACCCCCAGGAAAGCTTCCTCCTAACCCCCAGGAGATACAGGTTGGGGGTTTATATTACTTCCAATAAGACAGACCTAAGACTTGAACCTGTGTTTCTTAGCTCCTCAGCCAGTGCTTAACCCATCAGGCTGCAGAGCTGCCAAACCAGGCTTTTCTAGTGATGAGTGAGGGGCTGGGAGCTAGGCTGTCGGGCACACCTGATCCCTGGGGTCACAGTAAGTAGGAGGGGTAGCATGTTGCGGCGGGGCTGGGCAAGTGTGTGCTCCTCTGGCCTATGGAATTGCACTGTTCAGTCTTTCACTTCATGCCCAGAGTAGAAATACATGTAACGAGAGAGGAGCTGCAAACACTGAGACAACAGCCCTAGGGAGGAGAGGACTTTGGGGAGCAGAATGATAAACTCAATACTAAAGGTTCTCTGGCCATCTGATTTGAGTGGTATACACAGGCTCTGCTTGTTCTATCCATCCATCCCTCTCTCTTCCCCGCCACCCCTCCATGCAGTGGGTTCCTGGTTAGCCAATCCATTAATTTAGCAGCTCTCGTCAGTTGTGGACTGTGTAAAATTGCTCCTTCGCTCTTGTGTAGCTCTGAAAGACAGCAAGCCTAGGCAGCTGGGGTCACTTGCCAGTTGATTTGTGGAAGAGGGGGTGCTGGGGCCAAGCTTCTGGGCTGGAGCAGCGCAGGGACACGTGCGCCTACCAACTGCTGTCTTTGCGCCCCTGGCTTTCTGTGCAGCACTGACCGGGTCCCGGTGACCCTCAACCTCGATGGGATAGTGCAGGTATTGGACTGCCACCTTCACGACACAGCCACCGGGATGATGACCAGAATTGCAGTCCTAAAATGGCTCTATCACTTGTACATCAAGACTCCACGGAAGGTAAGTCTGGCTTGTGAAACAATTGGTGCAATAGCCTGCTGCCTTTGTGGAGCTGGGTTGGAGCTCCTTGGTCTCAGCCTGGTTATCATTGACCACTTGTGTCTGTTGCAAAGCCAGTGTGTGGTCCTGGCTCAGTGCCTCAGCGATGTTCTATGACCAGCAGGGGGCACTGCACGTAGTGGGGAGGTATATTGGCAGAGCTGTATGGTGGAGCCCTTGGCTGCAATAGCAAGGAATTGCTGCAGAGCTAGAATAATGGGGGTGCTGCAGTTTAGCACTGGCAGACATGGGGATGAGCTGCAGGGCTGGAGCTAGTGGGGTGTTTAACTCTGGCAGAGTGCTGCATACTTGGCTCTAGCTACAGTCTTTGTTCTCAGCGCCCATTAACCTGAGGCTTACAATCAGTTGGGGGCCTTTCTGCGCTCTTTCTAAAGGTGCCACTAGCCTAGCTGGGCTGCAGTGCATTGAAGGCGGATCTAACTGCAGAAAATGGTCCGTACAAACATGAGCAATACCCTGGCTTTCATCAAAATGAGCCCTTCTGACATTAGGTCCCTTATTAGCATGGGTAGGCAAACCACTGCTCCTGGTTGAGGGATAAAAACCAAGCTGAACCTCTGCCCTGCTTCTGAATCAAACACCAAGCTTTGGGTTCATTCAGAAGTTACCTGTTCTGCTGACAGTTGTCACACCCTCCTAGCCCTTCAGACTCGTGTCCTTTGCCACCGCCTTCCCTCTCAGGAGAAGGCTGCCGTAGACCTCCCATAGGTACCCCTGTAGATCCGTTGTGGGGCCTGGACTGCTAGCGAGAGGCCTCTGAAAACTCTGCTCTGCACAGTATCTCTGGGGTAGACCCGGGCTGGTTTCTCCCTTAAAGCTGTGTGTGGTTTCTGGGGCTCTTCCATCAGAGCTGAAACTTCCGACTGCCTTTGCAGGTCATTATTCCCATTGGACACTGTCTAGGACTCTGCAGGCAGGCCAGCCTAACGGGCATAGTACTTGGCACAGGGGTTCTTCCTGTTAGACAAGCTGTCAGGGGGAAGAGCGAAATGTCAGTAGATTTGGAGAAGCACCTGGGAAGGACCTTTTAGATCAGTCGCTCCTGACTTGCTGTAGCTGAGCTTTTATCAGTGGACTCATTGCAAGGGGAGAGAGTGCTTGGGAAGTGGTGCTATAGATGAATTAGGGCTTCTGTGGTGGTAGGTGTCCAAGTCACCAGATACAGTCCCTATCCTGAACAGCTTGGCTGGCAGTTAAAGCACATCTGGGGTATGATCCATGCATGGGTATTAGTGTACATCAGGTCTTGGCAAGGGTTTTCAAGAATCCTCTGGAGGAGGAGAAGGGAATGAACTTGGCCTTTATAGATTGCGAGGTTCTTCCAAGAGAAGGTAGAGGGGAAGCAACTCCCTCTTCCTTCCCCTGGGGTGCTGTCTACCATTCCCGAAACAGATCAGTTCTTGTAGGACATGTCATAAGTTTTCTAGGGGGAGCAGCTGCCATCATTCACACTGCCTCTTGCACATCAGGTCTCATTAACCATGTGTGTAATCAGACAGGAGGTGGAATTTGAATTGATGCCATGGTGGCTGCAGCTCCACATAAAGAGGAGCCCAAAAATTCACCCCAAAACTACCCATGGTTTAAATAAAAAATTCTTCACTTGTAAGTCTCTTCTGGCCTTTCCTCTCTTGGGAAGGGTAGGAAAGTGACAGTGTCCCACACTAAAAATTTGCCTGCTCATTACATAGGTATGGAATCAGCTCAGCAAACAAGTAACTGTGTGTCCTCCCGGGATTGTACTTGTTGGCCTAATAAGTTTGCTACTGATACTTTCAGCAGAGCTACTGTTTTGTTCCCTACTTCGAAGAGCTTGCCAGCTAGCTGGGAGGGGGATTTTCCAAGTACAATTGAAAAATGCGTGCAAAGCTGCACTAGCCTTTTGCACTGATGAGGATGGCTCCTGGTGTGTGGGAGGGGATATTTCAGACTCTGTGTGACTCTGAGGCCATGTGTCTTTCTGGTTTCAGATGTTCCGGCATACAGACAGCCTCTTTCCCATTTTGCTGCGGACCTTGTCGGATGAGTCAGACGAGGTGAGTATTACACCTCATATAGAAACCCTCTTGGCTGTGCTTGCCAGCTCTCATGCTCTCATCTTAGCCTTTGGGCTAACCTGGATCAGCGCAGCTAGGTTGGAACACACCAGTTCGCTGTATTAGCTCTTCTCTGGCTCTGCAGGATTGTCTAGCCCTTGTGGCTGCAGAGAGTTCCCTGCACGTGACCCAATCCAGTGCTGTCTCACTGGGTCTACTGACAAACCCATCTCTAGCTGTAATTTCACAGACTCCCACAGTCAAGCCTGGGATGAACCCCGTGACTCTAGTGTGTGAACTTCCCTTCTCCCCTCAGTGGGCTGCTGAGCCAAAGCCTGGTGATGTTAAGGCCAGCTTGATCTGTTACTGACTGGCCATTGTGGGTGGGGGCTTGAGCGCCCCTGCTGTCTCCTCTACTGACCTGTGTTTGGGGGAGAGGAACCAAGTCACCCAGCACAAGGCCAACCTTGGTGGAGGGGCTCCACCTGATTTGCAGTTGGTTACTTTCTTGACTCTACTGGGCAGTGTGGAAACCAAATAAAGTGTTACAGAAGGACAACTCGTGTGCAGTAGCTAGCCCACCACAATATCCTAGTGGAGACCAGGCCCTGCAGCTTTTACCACAAGGTAGCTAGGTGAAATCAACCCTATACTCTCTTGCCCATGGTTGGCCTGGCCTGGCTGCCTTGCAGTCCCTTCTCTCCACCAGGGTGGCTCGTGTGTTGTGCTGTGGTTAAACACACCTTTCATGGCAGTGCAGGTGTAGGCTACATGCAGTACCTGGCTCTCAGCTGGTGCAGCCAGTATTTCACCAATCTGTGTCAGGCTCAGTGTTACATTAAGCTGCTTTCAATATCCTTTCGCTCAGAAATTAGACACTACCTCGTTATTTGTGCCTGAGGGGGATCATGGGAGTGGGGCAATTAGGCCTGGCTGGTGTGCTGCAGCCAGTGTTGGGGTTGTGTTGGCCTGGTGTGCTGAGATTTTGACTAGCAACATGAGTTAGGAGGAGAGCTAAGGAGGGCCTTGCCCTGCTTTGGCAGGTGTCTCCACTTACCGTGTTGTTGCTTAATGGATAAGGCTCTAGGCTTAGAGCCATGCAATGCAGAGAACTACACCAAAATACCAGGGTAACGTGCTACTGCCAAGGGAATACAACAGCTGGCAGTACTGCCTGCAGTGGTAAGAACTGGGGCTTAGGTGTTGGACTCCTGGGTTCTATTTCTGACTCTGAAGCTGATGCCCTGGGACATTGGGAAAGATGCTTTGCTTCACTTGGCTCTTGCCTGTAAAATTGAAATATTTACCTCAAGGCAGGGGGGGCTTGGATTTTAACCTGGGTGAGTGATGCGCTTTTGACATCTTCAGATGAATATTTTGTTCTTGTCTGCCAGCGATTCTTCTTGAGCTGCTCCTGCTGCAGAATTGATGACTCTGCACCTTGTAACAGGAGTGTGTGAGGTCTCTTCTGCCTGGCATTTGCTGGGTCTATCTGATTGCTGGGGAAAGACAGGATTAGCCTCTCACTGATCAGCAAGAGTGTCTCTGCCATGAGCAAAGTAGGTGTCAGTATTCTAAAAGGAACATGCATGCTCGAGTCTTTGCTCCCTGCGTTGGGCCCAGCAATTGGGTGCTGCCCATCAAAACCTTCCATCCTTAGAGGTTTTTAAGGCCTGGCTTGACAAAGCCCTGGCTGGGATGATTTAGTTGGTGTTGGTCCTGCTTTGAGCAGGGGATTGGACTAGGTGACCTCCTGAGGTCTCTTCCAACCCTGATATTCTATGATCACTTCCTGGTGCTTGGCATGGCATTCTGGAGGCACTTTGCTTCCTGTCTAACAAGATGCTCCCATTCCTGAGAGCACGTAGGCTTTTCCTTGTCTCGTCTCCATTTCCTCTTCCTTCTCTTTTCTCCGCATCACCCTTCCCTGGTCCATTCTCACAGCCCCTAACATTCACCTCTTCCCCCTTACTACTTCATCAGGTGGCTCATAAAGCCCTTCCTGCATTAGACATTAGCAGATCTGGCAGTTACCATCAGAGGCCGATAGCGTTCCTAACTTCTGATGCTAATGTTAGCTGTGTTAGAAGCCAGGAGTGCAGCCGGTGTTAAATGCCTAATGCACATAGCCCTACTAGTGGTCTTTGGTAGACTCATAGGCTAGACTTTCTCAGCGGATTGAAAATAATGAAATATCGGCTTTGGACTGCATGACTAGGAAGGCAAAGTCGCCAAGCCTGGAATAAATCCTTGGTTAAGGGGATTGTTGAGAGATGGGGAAAATAAGTAATATCAAGGGAATGATTTGTACTTGCAAATCCAAGTGACTGCATGGCCACATTCCATACCCTGCTGCTTACGATGCAAGCGTTTTCAAAGCATCCCATCTGCATTTGCAATGCTCTAGAAAGCCCATATCTTGCAGATAGACTCTGGCTTGGCAGGACATTGCAATGAGTCATGTTACAATTATGTTTCTTTTTAATATTTAAAAATAAGCAATGCAGAAAGGACCCCGGTGATGCATTTCCTTCATGTGACGTAACTGGGATCAGCTCAAAAGTAATTTGAAGATTTATTTAATCCTGCCGATTTATGTAAATGTTTTTAACTTAGGAAATCCGTAGAAGATTCAGTCCATTAAATAACACTGCTCAGCTGGCTCCTAACCTGCTTTGTTCGCTTCCTGCTAAAGTGGAAATGGGAATGCCCGAAATAGCTGTTTTGGGGGGTGGGAAGAGGGAGGAGATTGCGAACGTGACTGCAGTGAGGGCTGGAGGTAAGGGATTAGGGTTCAGTTTCTGACACTGCCACAGGTAGCGCTACAGCGGCTCGGGGTAGCTTTTTCTTTAGGTCAGGGGGTCTCAAACTTCACTGCACCGCAACCCCCGTCTGACAACAAAAATTACTGCCTGAGCCCGCCCCAGCCCCACTGCCCCAGGCTGTAGGGCCAAAGCTTAAGGACTTCAGCCCCAGGCAAGGGTGCCTGTAACCTTCGCCCCACCACCCAGGACTGAAGCCCTCAGGCTTTGGCCCTGGCCCTGTGCCCCAGCAAGTCTAAGCCACCCCAGGTGACCCCATTAAAATGGGGTCGCAACCCACTTTGGGGTCCCGACCCACAGTTTGAGAACCGCTGCTTCAGGTTTACTCCCTGCTCTAGACAATTTCACAGCAGCCATTTGTAAGCTATGACTTGTCTGTAGGGTATGGGTGATCTGGAGCAGACGCACAAAGCCTTACCAGGATATTCTTGGGGGTTTCTAAGTACGCCCGCATCGTAACATTCACTTTCACCTCTCCAGTGTGTTCTAAGGCCATGGGGGCAGGAATCTGGCACCTTTTTGTTTATAAGGCTCCACACACCGTGCAGTGCAACATCAAGTGCACAGTCCAGCCTTGTACTGGCTAGAAGCTTGAGCATTCTTCCTGGTGCCCCACACGTCCCTGGGGAAGGTGGCCTGTTGTCCTGCAGTGTGACACATTGGAGTGCAGTGTTTCCTCCCCTGGGGGTACTTGCCCCCTCGAAGAGGAAGCAGCAGTGCTAGCCGCTGATCCTCCAGGTGATTAGAGGTTGACCTACTAGCATAACCTCAAGCTGATTTGGAGTGATCGTCCTATGCTGGGCTGGAGCTGAAGGGACGTCTGGCTTCCGAGGATCAGCAAGATCATGCTAGTGTGTCTCGATGCCAGCCTTAAACACTACCTATAGTAGAGCAAGGTGTCTATACAGTATTTAATGCCTTACTGCAGCAGCCCAGTCCTCCTGAATCGCTCCCTGCACTGTTCCCAAATGAGCTGTCCCAGAGGAAGGGAAGAAATGCACTTGATGAGACAGTGAGGTAGGAGCTGATCATGTTATATGTTGTTCACCCCCCACAAGTTTGACTTATGAACCGGATTTGCCAGACCAGGTGTTCCCCTCAGGGCAGAGCCCCGTACCTGAGAACACACTTCAGTTTTCTGTGAATCATCTTTGTGTCTCAACTCTTCTTTCCCTCTCCCAACCCTGACCCAGCTCTCAGAATCCGGCTGAAGGCAGTCAGTAGAACAGAGCCAGCCAGGTGACATTCAGAGACAGTGCAGCCCAGAGTTAGTGGCGCTGTAACACAGAAGAATAACTTGGAATGAATTTGGAGCAGGTGATTTCCTTTCTGGAACTCCAGAGCAGCAGATACAGTAGCAAGCTGGGGAAACCACTGATCTAAAACCTTGCAGTTTTATCATTGTACCACCCCTCCCTTCCCTGCCCCCATTCCAATCCCTTCCCTGAAATTGGGAACCACCGCCAACTCCCAGACATGGTCGGGGCCTGCAAAATTTCCTGGCTCCCTGAAAGCCGGAGGCCTTTCAGGCTACAAGAGACTTGATGTCTCTCCCTGTGCCACCCACGCCTTGATACCCAGGCCCATCCTCGGCAGACTCCTCAAAGGTGGTTCCCTTGAAAGAGAAACCTGCAATGAGATCACTAGCTGCACCTCTGACATGGCACCCATTTTCCCAGCCCAGAACTCCACATCACTATGTTGTCGCTCACAGTCTCTGCCCTCCTGGTACCATGAAGTACATCTCTGGCACCAAGACACCAGTCACTGACCCTGTGGTGCCGCTCTCTAGCCAGCCACAGCTATCAGCATGCACCCGCTTCAGCTCCACTTTGGTCTCCTAGGGAGGAGTCCTCCTAGGGGTCTGAGAGTGAGCCTTCCACACCTCTGAGGCATCGCCGGCACTGGTCTTATGGGCTGGAGCCTGTGGCAGGCCCGACTTCCAGTCCCTAGCCCAGTGGCCACATCAGTGGGTGTATTGGACTTCTTGTGGGTGCCCTCGCATGCCGGGCTCATATTCTATCCAGGCGCCCTTGGTAGTTTCCAAGGCCCAAGCCTTGCCTCTGGCACCACCGGCACCGGGAACTGACTCGGAACCAGATCCCGGCACCGAGATTCCAGCAGCATCTGTGCAGTCAGCACCAGCGGTCGAGGAAGAATCAGCCGCACTGCCTGTGG